GATGTACCTCAGTTATACCCCAGTTATATTGCTTCATAAATTTCTGGTCACACAAATCATTTCGCCGACCAGTGGTATCACTGAAGTTTATTTCTTTTGGAGAAGTTTATTTCTCTCTTTCAGAGAGCCTCGTGGCGCAGTGGTTAAACCGTTGTACTGCAGCCAAAACTCTGCTCACAACCTGGGGTTCAGTCCCAGGTAGCCGGCTTAAGGTTGACTCAGCCTTTTATCCTTCCGAGGTTGGTAAAATGAGTACCCAGCTTGCTGGGGGGGGGGCAATGTGTAGCCTGTATAATTAACTTGTAAACCACCCAGAGAGTGCTTGAAGTACTATGGGGCGGTATGTAAGCAGCACGCTTTGCTTTGCTTTGTTTTATTTTATAGCGAGGATGTTTTAATTCATTCTGTACTCATATTGCATGTGTGCACACTTGTTTGCAAAGGGCTCAGGTTTCTGGGCACTGTGAGGAGGGAGAACCAGATTAGATTAACAGGGACGTCTGTGAACCACAGTATGATTGTTAGCTACAAATGTCAGGTGCTGTCCCGCCTCTCCCTGATCGCCCCTCCTCACTCCTTTGCCAGATGGGACAGGGCAAATGAGGTGCAGAAACCAGCTGGGGGAGGAGGGGATCTCATCCAGGCCCTTCCAGAGGGCCCAAATCAGAGAGGAAAAAGTCATGATCCAAAGCATTTCCCAACCTCCCATACACCTTCGCCCCAGATTTCACCTCACAACTTCCAGACTCTTGTCTGCAGTCTGTTTTCAACAGGCTTGTCCAGGGTGTGGAGGGATGGAGAGTGTTGTTTCTCCTCTGTCTTTTTTTTAACCCTCTGCTCTTGCAAAGTCTCATGCTCTTTTGCCAAGCGCTCGGGTTTCTAGGCATTGTGGCCACTTGATGGCCACTGCGCTTGTACCCTTTACATTTTTTTCTGTCATCAAATTGGCAACTTCTGTCTCCTTCTGAGCAATGTATTCATGTTTTTGCTAACAGCTTGAAGGAGAAATCTTCACTCCCCTCTTTAAATGGGTGCTTGAGCACAGACATTGTTTGCTTTGAATTGTAAAGAAAGGAGGGTTGCTCCTCCTCTGTCTTTTTAAGCCCTCTGCTCTTGCAAACCTGCCAGAGCTGTAGACACCATCACTCCTAAATGCCCTCTCCACCACAGAGTCCGTCCATGTCTTGGTTTATCCAGCAGTTGCGGGCTATGAAAAGGAGGAGGAAAAGGAGAAGGCTAGATAAATTTTGGAAGTGGAACCCGATGGGTAATAAGTTAAAAGCTGTCAAGGTCGCGTCTAACCTTTACCTTGCTAAGTTAAAGGTTTCCAGGAAAGCTTATTTGCTATCCTGATAAGCAAAGCATTCAATCAGCAGGCAGAACTTTTCCGAATAGTATGTGATCTATCTGAAATTGGCCACAATGATTGGCCTCCATCTAGCATTTCTTGTAACCAATTTGTAGCATTTTAAAAATCAAAAGTGGAGGCCATCTGCCAGGATCTTGCCTATTTGAAAACAGTGGATTGAGCTGAGACATCCAGCACAGCACCTTGGCTACTGAGAATTGCTCAGTTTCAACCTGTGAGGTGGACAAGGTCCTTGATTGCTGTCAAGCCACCTCCTCCTCCCTTGACCATAACTGGCCTGGCTAATCAAAGCTGCTGGCCCGGTGACAACTGAATGGGCTACTGAAATAATAAATGGGTCTCTTCTTGAGGGCATGGTTCCTTTTGCCCTCAAGGAAACATTCATTAGGCCCATTAGGAAGAAAATGAGTTTGGCGGCAGACGATCTTGGCAATTATAGGCCCATCGCCAACATTTCTTTCCTCAGTAAGGTAGTTGAGAGGGTGGTGGATGATCAGCTTCAGGCCCTCTTGGATGAAACCAACACCCTGGATCCATTTCAGTCAGGCTTCAGGCTGTGCCATGGCACGGAGATGGTATTGGTTGCCCTGCTGGATGATCTACTTAGGGAGGCCGAAGGGGGCAAAATGTCCTTGTTGGTTCTCCTTGATATCTCAGCTGCCTTTGATACTGTTGACCATGGTATTCTCCTGGAGAGGCTCTCTGAGTTGGGTTTTGGTGACAGTGTTCTTGCTTGGCTCTGGTCCTTCTCAGAGAGTCAGCTTCAGAGAGTTCAGCTTGGGGAGAATGTATTGGCCGTGTGGTTCCTCACTTGTGGGGCACCGCAAGGGTTTGATCATCTCCCCAATGCTGTTTAACATATATATGAGGCCGCTGGGGGTGGATGCCATCCGGGAATGTGGAGCTTTGTATCACCAATATGCTGATGACACACAGCTCTACATCTCCTTTGTTCCATCTGCAATGGATGCCGTTCTGTCCCTTGAACACTGCCTGGAGACCGTCTTACAATGGATGCAGTCTTAAAATGGATGCAGTTGAATGGACTGAGGTTGAACCCAGACAAGACGGAGGTCTTGCGGGTGGGCGGTCCTGATGTCAATAAGTTGGGGGGAACTCCCTCTTTTGGAGGAGTGACTTTCAACGCAAAGAATGTGGTTCGCAGTCTGGGGGTCCATCTTGACCCAACGCTTACCATGGAGACCCAGGTAACGTCTGTGGTTCTGTCCCCCACTTACATCTTTGGTGGATCACCCAGCTGCATCCCTATCTAGACGCAGCAGCACTCACCATGCTGGTTCATGCACTTGTAATCTCAAGAATAGACTACTGTAATGCTCTCTACGTGGGGCTTCCCTTGAGACTGATGCAGAAGCTTCAAATGGTCCAGAATACAGCGGCCAGGCTATTAACTGGGGTGAAAAGATTTCACCATATTTCCCTCACCATGGCCGCCTTGCACTGGCTACCTATTCACTTCTGCATCGATTTCAAGGTGTTGACTATTACATACAAAGCCCTAAATGGTTTAGACCTTTGATACTTGGCAGAGCGCCTTCTTCCACCTAGTTCTGTCCATATCACTTGTTCTAGTCAGCCAGGCAGCCAAGAGAGGTCTGAAGGGAAAAAACTGTAAGTTGGGCCTTCTCGACAGTGGCCCCTCATCTCTGGAACAACCTACTTGTAAAGATCCACCTGGCCCCTCGCTGAGGGCCTTCAAGACCAATCTGAAGACATGCTGTACAGGCTGGCCTTCCCTACAGCCATCAGTTAATCTATCTTTTTTTTTCTTTTTTCCTTTTTTTCCATCTTGGATTCTGCTGTTAATTTGGATCTTATTCTTAGTACATTTATATTTTCATAGTTTATTTTTTATATTTTGTGTAAACCGTCCAGAGTAGACGTGTTCTAGATGGGCGGTATATAAGTTTAATAAAATAAATAAATATCCCGCTCCTTTGCAAAGGGAAAGGAGAGGAGGAGAGAAGGCTCGGACCTCTGTATTGCACCACATATTTTTTTTAAAATAAAAGTAAGTGGCAGCACTGCCCCAGGAAACATCAGGGACAATAAATTGATTCCACAGTGTAGTTGGCATACATATATATATACCATTTGACTGTGATTCAGTACAACAGAGGTATGAAAATAATTGATAAAACCGAGGTTCATTTGGCTGGTATGATCAGCCCCCCCCCCCCAGGCATATTTAGGGCGAACATAAGCGAAGGCTTTCTCTGCAGCTGCTCCCAGATTGTGAAGTGTCCTCCCTCTGGAGACAAAGCTGGGCCCTCCCCTTTCTTCTTCCAGAGACTGGTAAAGATGTTTAAAAAAAAACCTGGCTTTTAAATTGCATTGGTCATTTAAGTTGGACTTTTTCGTGATTTGCAATATACAGTAGTGTTCTTTTAAAAGGTTTGTTACAGTGTTTTGGGATAATTATTTTTATACTCTTCCTTGTTTACATTTTTAACAGAATAATATGTTGTGTTTTTAACTTGTATTTTAGTTATTGTGAGCCACCTTGAGTCTCTTTATGGTAGCAAAGAAAATAAATAAATAAATAAATAAATAAAGCAAGCAAGCAAGCAAGCAAGAAGCAAGCAAGCAAGCAAGCAAGCAAGCAAGCAAGCAAGCAAGCAAGCAAGCTCCGGGAAGGATCAGTTGAACCAAATTCTGCTGCTTTTTTTTCATAATGTGTAGGGTTGCCATCCCTGCCCTTTCCAGTTTAAATGAGTTTGTTATCTAGATAGTTTTCTAATTCAGACAAAGCAAAAAGCAAAGAACAGTTTTCTTTTCCTCTGTCTTTAAGTGTCCCAATATCTAAGGTCAGCCCATGACTCTGTTTTTCATTTTTCCTTTGAAAGAGGTAGCAGCTAACAAGTAATGCCTCTAGTTGCAGCAACACTGAATGAAGTTGGCCCGGTTGTTCGGTGATCAGCAGACTGTCTTGGCAGACCTTTATGTCTCTTTATTGGCATCTTCATGAAGTTCATTTTACTGGCCAGCTTCCTGCAAAAGAAACATCTGAACTGGAGTTTTGATTCCAGAAAGAAATCAACACAATTTATAATCTGTACAGTATATTTTTTTAGGGCAGAAGGACAAGATGGTGTGACAATTAACATTATTTTTAACTCTTTATAAAGCTATCATAACAGATATTCTCTGAGTGATTCCTGAAACAGTTTCATTGTTAAAGAAAAAAAGTAAAGTAACAAAAGCTATTAAAAATTAAAACACCTCCCCAATGATCAGTTCCCTCCTGTCACTTGGTATAGGCTATTAGAGCAAAGTTTGTGCTGATATATATGACAGAAGGCAGTCTTTGTTAAAGGACATTTGTTATATTGTATTTCTAGGCAGAGGAATGTAATGTCTCTTGTGGGCCTTGGTCACAAATAGAAGAATAATTGCTACCTCACCTAAAGCAAATATGTATGCTTAAGGAGCACATGCTATACTGTTGAGCACTGAGAAGTCTTTTCTCATCAAATGAAGGAGGATGCATTGCTAATCTGAAAACCGTCCTGCAAAAAGTAGTACTTTCATTGGGAAAGCAAATATCACCTTAGAATACCTACCTCTTCTTTTGTGATACAGTTTACGTTACTCTGCTGTTGATTTTCAGGTGCTCTGATTTCTAAAAATGGGAAGGAAACTGGACCTTTCCAAACTGACAGATGAAGAAGCCAAACATGTTTGGGATGTAGTTCAGCGGGATTTTGAGCTACGTCAAAAAGAGGAGGAACGTTTACGGTGAGTGCCTAAAACATGGAATTCTGAATTGGAGCTTCTCTGATGATTCATCAAAGAAGAACATGAAGAGATGTTTAACTTTCAATGTGCCAAATGAAAAACAAATGAAATTAGCAACTAAAAAGATTACGGGATATAGTCTGGGTGTTGACATAATAAAACGGGTTTTATTTGTAGTATTATTGTATTGAAATGTAAAAGGTGTTGATTTTTAAGCCATGGTTGTTGTATATTAAATCTCATGAGACAAAAGCAGAAGAAATTTTATTTAATGATGTTCAAGGAACCCTCCCCCCCCCAATATTTAGTGAACAACTGCAAAAATTGGCCACTGATGTGGCATCACTACAGCACAGCAAGATCAATATTCTCATTTGAGAACAGAAAGTCAGAATGTTTACCTTATTTATGAGTATTAAAGTGCTTTCACAAAGACTGGACCAAACTAGTGCTAGTGAAAGTTGGAGAATGGCTTTAAGTTAATGAAGACGGTTCTAATTTCATTCTCCAGCATTAGTAGGGCCAAGATCACTGGTGTTTGGGATGAGTGAGACTCAGATTGTTTGATGATGTTTCTGTGGTAGAAATGTGAGATCCAGTTGGTACCCCAAGGAATATATGCCTGCTATGGACTCCTATAACCAGAATGAGATGTGGTTCTGGAAATCTCTTGAAAGACAGTCCGCAGAAAGCACAGAGAGCTAAAGTGGGGAAGGGAGGAAAATTTGGCACAATTACTAATAGATCATTGGATTAAGTCTTTCGAGTAGATGATGAACAGAATGGCTTCATACATATGTTCCTGGCATTCTTTTTGTTTTAAAAGAGCTGCAAGAAAGTAGAGGGCCTGGCTGCAAGACTGGCAGACAGGATAAATGTAAATGAATTGCAAGCATAAAGCAGACCAATTTTTTTTCAAATAAAAGTCTTGAGAGGCAGGACAGAGACATGCCTTGATCAAAGAGGAACAGAAAGTGGTTTCAAGGTAGAGGGAGCAGTGCAGTAGAAGCTCTGGGCTCATGCAGGGTGGCCGAGGATACCAACAGAAGAGACCCACATCTTGTGTGCAGGCATGATACAGTTTATTATGAAGCACAGTTCATTAGGCAGAAGGAAAGGCCAGATACTTCAAACTGCTATAGGCATGCCAGTTCATTTTCATGAAGTTTCATCAGTTAGTGGAGACAGTTGAAGGAGCTGATTGTTTAGCCCTGGTCTAGATGACCATGCCCATGATCTATGCTCCCTCTGGCTTTGCATAAAAGGATCTGATTAGAGTTACAAGCCTACTTATTCCTTTACCAGGAGATCATGCTTGACAAGACAAGTATACTGCATCTGTATATTTTGCCAGATTGGACCATGCCGTTATGAAATCATGTATGCTGGGCACATGATTTCCAGAAAAAAAAAGAGGTAACCTGAGTTGAGCCAAGCAAGTGGTCAGTAGTTATTTAAAGAATGTGCCTTGAGATTGACTATTCTACTGCCAACTCCATGTTCTTTTCCAGTGATAAGTAAAATTGTGCCTTTTTTTAAACTATAACTCGTGGAGTACTCTGGTCAGCATGGCAGGTAGTCCAGAACCCTAATCTTTCCTGTTTCTCTTCTTTTAATCTTCATGTTTTAGCTGAAGGGCAGGTGAGGAAGGAGTAGGGATGAACTCCTTGGCCAGATCCACAAATCTAATGCAATTTGTGACTCCATTGTAGGGGTATCTGGCTCATGCCTGGATTGTGGAACACTCTTTGTCCTTACCTAGACTTGTCCCTCGGTGCAATTTGTATTATTTCGACTCATGAAACATAATAGGGAGTCACTGAGAACTGAGGCCTCCCCCTTGTTTATAATCCTACATTGGACTCTCCTTTTGTATTCTAATATGAGAGAATGTGAGAGACATAACACGTTATCAGGTACCTTTGCTATTTAGATACAGTACTTCCCTTTTCTTGTGACAATCAGCCTGTTAAGTAGACTAGGCTGGGAGATCTGACTAACCCAACAGGCTGAGTAGGGAAATGAAAACCCTCCAGTCTGTGGCTGAGTTCTTCAACCATTACCCTGCCATGGTTTCTGAAAGGCCAAATGTGCTTGGGATGTAGTTCAGCTGAATCTTTCCAAAGTATCTTGTCTCTGTCTCTCCTGGCCAGCAGAAGAAATTCTGCAGAAATTTAAGTGGACTGATTAAAAATTGTAGGTTTTATTTTAAAAATAATAAATTTACATACCTTTATGACCCACCTAAATGCTAGATTCTATTCCTATGTTTGCTATGGGGGGAGGTGTCAGTGTGATTCAAAACGTTTAATTGTGATTAATCATGCCCACTGTATTCTTTGTATTGCTGTCTGAAGTATAATTTATTTTTCCAGGCAAAGTCTGTGGCTGCATGGATCCTGTGAGGAATATATCAACAGTCAAAATAGCATGATAGCCTGGAAAGAACGGCTAATTAAATACAGAATAGTCAGCTAACATATTCAGAATGCTAGAAGGGTGTGCAGAGTGAAGAGTTATTTTTCTTTCCTTTTCTCCCACCCACCCCCTTTAAAAAAATCCTCTCAGTACTGGACAATGGAGAACTGTGGGAGAATTGGAGGTTCAGGAAAGGTTAATAACTTGAAAAAGAGGCCTTTTCAACATGATAGAATTTGAGGGTTTTAGCACACAGGCCAAGTTACCCAATACCACAATATATGCTGGGTTTTTCCTTGACAAACTAGCTCAAGGATGTGAAAGGAAAACATGTTGCACTAAATTTGGGGGGCAGAGAAGGAAAAACTTAATTCACTCCTGTTAAAGCAATTATTTATTTTAAGGGAAGAGGCAGGACATGAATCATCAGCATGGGAGGATCCTTTTAAGAGTACATTTACATTATGGCTTTACAGTATCCATAATCAGAAAAAAAATATTTTCCTATGTCCATGGTGAGCAGACCGTACTATGAGTAGTCCAAGAGAAAAAGCATTTTTAGCACAGATAATTGGCACAAATCTTAGAGGCTCTTTATGTTCTAATAAACACCACCCTTTCTTAAAAAGAGTGCTTGCCAATTATAATGTTCACAATATATTTTCCAGAAATATTGAGTGGCTTTTTTTTTTGCACTTACAGATCCTGGGAAAGAAGCAGAGTACTAAAGCTTGGAAATAAAATATTAGAATGAATTTTTATTAATAATAACTGAATTAACATTCAGTTTGTTACTTTTTTCAGATCAACAGAAAAAAGTTTAAAAATTAGGATTTTAAAACATTAAATAACTGCTGCAAACAGTTCCACTCTTTGAAAATTAAATGTAATTTAAAGACTCTACTCTTGCAAGCTGGGGGTTGGGGGGAGATCTGAACGTTTGACCCTGCCAGTCAGGACCCAAGGACTTTCAGGAGAACTCTTTAATTCCTTCCTAGCCAAAGAGATTTTCTGTTTCTAGTGTATGAATGTTTAAAAATATGTTTTTAAATAATAGCGAATAAATATTCAGAAGCTCACTCATTTAATCTGTGGAAATATTGTTTTCTGCTTTGTGGTTGGGGATGATTTATTGGGTGCCTATTTCACCCACCGTGTCACTATACAATTGTTTGATAAGTGAGTGGAAAAAATCCTCCCAAGATGCTATGTGCCATCAGGTCACTTCTGATATGTGGTGATGATGAGCCTGTTCAGACTGGCTGTTTTGGGGGTGGGTGGGTGAATGGGGATGCAAAGGGTCTGTTGAAGTGGGGAGGAGGAGTGACGTGCCATTTGGCACACTTCTCCCATCCCCACAGCAAAGGGCTCCTTGTAGCCTGATACGCTGTCAGTTCCACACTTTACCTGATTATCTGCAGAGGCACAGGGGAAGTGGGGCCTCTTTTCCCATGCTGCAGATCCATTCAAAGCAAGGTTTATCCGGTTTACTCATGAGTAAAGAGACAGCAGCAGAGACAACTGCAGTTTGCAGGGGAAAAGTTGGGGAGACAGAACAGAGGTAACCCCCCTTTTCTCTGCCTTTCTCTTCTGTTGGGGTTCTGCTGGGGCTGCACAGCCTTGTGTGGGTCAAGCCCATGGAATCACCATAGCCTCCTTCCCTGCCTTTTTCTCATGACCATCATCCAAGGGGCTGGGGTGACTTTCCTTTTTTGTTTGTTTAAAAAACAAGTGGTATATTGAAATGGCAGTGCCTCAATCTAATACATCACAGAGTTGTCTCCTCAGTTAACATTACCCCCAGTGTCATTTTGGTGAAAGTACCTATCCACAAAGGCTAAAGAAAGAGCTATTTTGTATCTCAATGAATCATGCCAAGTAGATTGCATGCCTTAGCCAGTTTGGTGTGGAACAACTCTTCAAGGGGAAGGATGGATTGTTCTAAGTACAAACAAAAGTAGGCAAAGTCTTTTCTTTCATGCCAAAAAGTGCCATCAGAGTTCCATACATCACAACTATATGTGTAGACAGTAATGCTATATGAGTTACTGACTTCCAAAATGTCCTATTATTAACAGCTTTGCTCAGGTATTGCAAGCCAAGATTGTCTCATGTTAGATTATTCTCTCTTCCTACTGCACCCGCTTCCTAACAATGTCTTTTCCAATAACATCAGTTCAGTTCTTGCGAACTAACAGCAGTAGCTTCTTCTATTGAGTCAACCCATAACATGTTGTCTTCTTCTTTTCCTACTGTTCCACCTCACTTTTCCCAGTAATATAGTATATTCCAGTGAATTGTATATTTCCATTATATGTGTGTGGTCAGTTGTTCATTTTTGCTCTAGTGAGAGCTCAGGTTTGACTTGATTGGGCACCCATTTTTCTGCTTTTCCGCCTGTCTTTCATATCTGTGCGGCTCTCCTCCAACATTACTTTTCAAATGAGTTGATTTTTCTCCCTGTCTTCCTTTGCTGTCTTTCTTTCTCATAGTATGGATGATTTTGACCTTGATTTTCAGTGACATTTTTTGCAAACTCCAACTTCATCCTTTTCAAAATTTCAAATGCCAAAGGGACATCT